ACCCAAACCCGCACCCCCCCACCCACACCCACACCCACACCCACACCCCCAACTTCACCGAAAGAATTTTTCGCTGACGGAGACATTGGAATGAGCGCACATGTGGGTGTAGGTGTAAGTGTGGGTGTAGGTATACGTGCGAGTGCGTGTGTAGGTGTGGGTGTGGTTCAGGGTCATTAAATGAGCAAAAATTTCTTTCGGAGAAGTTGGAATTCGGCGAAAAAACAATTCGGCGAAAATGGACTAATTCTTTATTTCGACAGAAAAAAATTTTTAATAAAATATATCCGATCCTACTCAAATTTTGATGCTGATTTCGAATCTCGCATGGATTTTGTTTGAAAATGAAGTGTTGAGGATCAAAACCGCCAAATACTAATTCAATTTATACACAATAAAGGGATATTTAAGAATGTTTAATTATGAAGTGGGATTTCAGACAAAAAGTTTTAAAATCGTGGTAATAACAAAAGGAAGCTGAATATATAAGCAAGTTTTTAAGAAAGTTTTGGCGATGGGTTATTTTTTTTTGTTTTTCAGATAATGTCATGTCAATATTTCGTATATGGTCAATGTATACATGCATGACTTTGTTTTTTTTTTTGGCTATTATAAACTTTGACAAAATAAAAGTTATGTAGAATGATAGGATATTTAATGCTGATTATAAATATGTAATTAGAATTTTAAAAACGTCTTTTTTTATAGCAGAGAAAAGTGCGCTTCAAGGGTCAAAATTTCAATCTGGACAGGATCCGCTGAAATAACGCATGCAGCACGCCTAGCTTTGGAGACTATCATTTCCTCAGGAAAAAACAACAAATGTTTGAACGATCCTTACCAGATCTGGGAAGGATCCGCCATGGAAATGCCAAAGATTTTCACTAAGGAATGTTTCAATGACTATTTTTTTCCTCGATTCGTTCATATAATTGTGTTGATTCTGCAATTGGTTGTTTTAGATATAGAATCTCACATTCTATCGATTGGTGTAACTTGTAATATGATTCTCTGCCACAAATTTTACCTGCTGGTAGGCACCTCAGTGTGGATGCCCATATGAGTGTCAGAATATCTTCTTTTGTTATTATCTCGTGTGTTAATGAGAACATATTTTGACTGGTATTCCATAGTCTCAGAACGATGCACACATCATTCATACATTTGCCACTCTTCACTATATTAGCACTTACTTTCACAATCACACTAAGGCATTTATCCAAGGTCAAATTCTTTGCCAATAATCCCGTACGAAAACCACACTAATCGATAGAGCGTAAAATTTTGTATCTAGCACCCAGTTTGAGCATTGACACAGCTCTGTAGGCGAATATGAACAAGAAGATCTCGAAATCGGTGCTAACTTTTCTTACACTTATTTCAGACATATCTCAAACAGTTTCATTCCAATATATCTATTTTTTATTTAATAAATAATAAAAATTATACTTGTTCATCATAATAAATATAACCCATAATCAATGGAAACTATAAAACGACTTGTTTTTGCAACAATGCCTAAAGTTTACGTTCATAAAATGTTATCAATAGCACTAAAGACATCAAGTCAACGCAATCCTGACCGTTTTCGAATACAAGTTCATGTTCTAGCTGATGTTTATGCTGATATAAGCAATCAATTGGAGGAACGATTACACGAGGCCAAGGATAACTATACAGGTGAATTCATTCTTATCATTCCTTATAATTCGGGCAACTTCCATTGGATTGGCTTATTAATACAATTCAAACATGATAAACAGATTCAACGTGTTGAATATATTGATCCCGTGAACAAATCAAATTATTCTCCAGCAAAGTTACAAGAACAGTTTAATAAAGTTTTCCCCAACTTTATTTTGCAGTCAAGAACCGCTTTGTATAAAGGTAATCAAGCTGATAGTGCTTCGTTAATCGTTAAAAACTTATTAGAAGCAATTGTCGAATTTAAATGCAAAGAAGTTGAACATGCAAATACAAGTAAATTATCTGATCAAATCAATGATACAGAGATGTTTTCAAATAAAACGTTTGAACCTTTTCGTTTAAAAAGCATGTCTATAAATGACAGAGAAAATGCTTGTGATGAATCCCCATCGATTTTCCCAGTGAAAGTAGCACAAATTGATGAATCAAGAGAATCCAAAAGCACTAAAGGAGATTCAGATGAATCAGTCAAAGAAAATGAGATTTCAAAATGTGAGAGAAAACCATGTAGTATGCTAAGTCTTGACATTCGAAAATCTTATTCTAGAGATGATTTTCAACTCACAAACGAAAGCCTAAAAGATACTTATAAAGATTTTGATTTAATGCCATTATGTACAGAAAGATTTCTACTTAGTTTATGGTATCTTATTTCTGTCAAATTAATAGGTAAGGACGCCATTGTAGACCAAACTATTATGTCATCTGATTATAGGAAGTTAGAAATTGATGAAGAACTTCAATGTTTAAAAGAACGTTTAAAATTAGAAGAAATATCATCAACGAAAATTCAACATGCAGTTGAAACACTTTCAATATATATTAAAAATGAAAATTGGATATCTTCTTTAATTATATTAAAAGAAATACTTCATGAGATAATGCCATTGAATATTTATGAGCTATTTCGATTAGTAAAAAACATTGATGATGCAGCGAATTTAATAAAAGACAAGAAGATAATCTTTTTTCTTGGTAATACCGGATCAGGAAAATCCACAACTATACACTTTCTTGCAGGTTCTAAAATGATTAAGACAGAAATCAATGGATTGAATCATATAGAACCCACTGAAATAAAAAATGTAGATTTAAAACGTATTGTAACAGCACCATTTGCTAAATCTATAACTCGGTGTATCACACCGGTTACTGTTTACTTTAAAGACATTGGTGCATATGGACAGGATAGTATCATTTTATGTGATAGTCCAGGTTTCGGTGATACTAACGGTCCTGAAGTAGATATTGCTAATGGAATAGCAATAGTTCGAGCTATACAAGTATGTGAAAGTGTGAAACCAGTTCTAATAATTAGTTACAAAAGTATTGGTGATAGATATGAAGGATTAAAGGATCTTACTCATACACTAGCTAGATTAATTCAAAATACGAAACATCAGATTAAAGCTTTTTCTTATATATTCACAAAATATCCTAAAAATGAAAAAGAAACAATCCATGCGTCATTAGAAACTATTAGCAATACACTTAGTGATCAAGAGAGATCTGACACTAATTTTATGGATATATTTAGAGATATGTTTGAAAAAACCAAAAAGAACGCATGTGTTTTAGATCCCATTAAGGATGATCCTAGTAAGATTCTTGATGAACTTGCAGATTCTATTGATATCAATCATCCAGAAGATGTTTTCCAATTTTTCATTACTGAAAAGTCTAAAAGTATTCTAGATAAACAAGTGACAAAATATGAGTTGAGTATTAAATTAGCAACTAAACGTTCAGAATATTCATTAGTAAAATACATACTTGATCAATTAAAATTTTTAAATATATTATTAAATCAAGAATCTATTGAAGAAATTTATGTAAATTGTACTCGATATGTAAGCAGACATTTTTTTGAAGAATATCAAAAGGCGATATTAATATTGAATCGTAGTTTATTAGATGAAACAATTTTAATTGATGAAGAAATAAAACAATATCGAACCTATTTTGATCATGCTAATCTGGTAGAAGATTTAAGAAAAAGACATTTAGGAAATGAAGCGATTCATAGTTGTGCTTATATTGAATATTTAAATGAAAAAGTTGATAATT